ACCTCCCCGGCACGCCGGGGTGTCTTCCGCGCGAGCGGTCTCTTTGCAACGATCCTTCCCCACCCAAAAAAACCCGCGACCCCCGCCCGGCGGGCGGAATCCGAGGCGTGGGTGGCTCAGCCGCTGCGAGGAAGCCCCGCGTTCTTGCATGCAACTGCCTCTATGCACGCCGAGGAGCATTGCACGCCGCTCCCCGCTTTGCATCCAGCGCTACTTACATCTCGGAGGACGCTGTGGCTGTGGCTGAGGCGGGCGGTCAGTGGCAGTGGAAGTGGTGGCGGCGGCGGCGGCGGCAGCTGCGGCGGCTGCGAGGCTCGCGCTTCCCGAATGAGGCTGCTCGCTTCGGCAGAGGCAGGGAAATGGCGGCCGGGCTGTCACATCCGGGCACTTCAAGGGAGGGGAGGGGGAGGAGAGGAGCGGAGGGGAGGAGGGGGCGGCGGCCGCCATGTTGTTCGGGATCCTTTTCAACCCCACTGCCTCACTGGAGGGAGCGCCCCTGGGTGGGGCGAGGAGAAAGCCCCCCAAAATACAATAAAACGAAGCAAAACAACGCAGCCTCCGAAGGGAAACAGCTCAAAGCCACCCTCCCCCTCAGAAATTGCTCCTTGCCAGCTTGGCAGACCTGAAAATGGGGCGTTTGACCCACTCTCCCCTCACAAAATTAGCCACGAGGAAAAGCCTGACTCACAGGACACGTGAAGCAAACATGTCCTGTCCTGGCTCGGTGGTGGGAACCCAAGCAGCTGGGTTTAGTCAGTAAACCAGGTGTTGAAGGCCGGGCAGCGCCCATTTGGTGCCCCTGGGACTTCACCCCCCATCATTCCCAGCCAGCTTTGGGGGGGATGCCGTGACTCCACAGAGGGCGCCAGGTTGCAAAAGGGATGGGCGGCGCTTGAGGAAAAGGCATTGGCTGTGTTCACACAACACACAGAGCCACAATTGAGGCAACAGACCACATTTTACCCTGGCATGTTGTGCTAATCCAGCCTGTATGGTTAGTTGCCAATTCCAGGCGCCCTGCCCACCCAGAAAACTGGGTTTACTGAATAAACCACCATTACGTGGAAACAAGGATAAAAGGTCCCCGTACAATCCAGAAATAGGGTTTCCAACTTTGAA